TCAGGATCCAATCCGGCTCTTTTTATCGTGAGTTAAGTATGAAATAGCACTTCCTCTTGTTAGTTTCTTTCGGAAGTTTTATTAACACAAGTTCATTGCTTTCATAAAGAGAAGATGAAAAGACACCCATTTATTCGTTTTTGAAGTGAATAAAAACTGAACGATACATTGGAGGTATTCACAAAAACGGCTAGTCATGAGTGGCCGACCGGAGGAAGGTCGACGAACGACTAGCCGTTCATTTTAGAGTTTTATTGTATGGAAAATGACTCAGTCTAATATCCACAGAATGTTTTTAAAGCGAGTAGTAAGATCGACTATTGATAGCTCAAATGATTAAGAACTAAGGAGCCACTTAACCAAAGTAGGCTTATTTTGAATCCATAATTAAGTAGAGTACTTTCAGAAAAGGGTCAGCGAATCCGTCGGATGAGCGCTACTTGTTACTATAGATTCTGTTAAGAATTCTAGCATTTGGAAATTTTATAACAGTGTACTAGTACTGTTGGAATAAAATATTTTAGATTAGGAAAAAGTCGATGAAAAGATGATACTAATGATGAAGAACCGTGATTCCCTTTTCTGAAAGAAAGGATTATACGCAGCTTAAAAATGCTTAAAGTTTGTCTGTCCAAGGCAATCAGATTTTTTCTATCGGCATTCAATTGTAGAAGATTATTTTGAGTCGGGGTTTCGACTAATGAGATATTTTGACGTGGCGGTTTCTACCAATCATGTTTCAGGTGGAGCTGTAACAGTCATCTAGGTTTGGGACTCTGCCTATAACAATGCATCAGTTTTCTTTGCTTTCTAGTTTCGTTGAGGAGGGTTATTTTTCCTATATAAAGTTTGACCAAACGTGATCGGTAGTGGGGAGTCGAGGAGTGAGGGTGAGAACAGCTACCAAGACCGATGTTTCGACTCGGCTAAGAGTCTCATCAGTTGGCATTTATCTCTAATTCGATTCATTATAGAATCAAGTCGAGACTAACTAATCTGTTATGAATCAAATAGAAAATCAATTCATAAAGATAGTTTATAAGGCAGTCGTGAGCAACACGGTTAAATTGAACAATCAACAACCCGGATTAGAAAATTTCAGTTACATCGATCAACAAAGCATCCATGTTTAATTTATTTTTGTTTCTGTTTATTTAGAATATAATTCTGACAAAACATGCCTATTTGCTACAATTGTAAAGGGCTTAATCAGACCACAAGTGGGGGGGCGGGGACACGAACATTCAGTTGTGGACACATGCTGTGCGACGTTTGTAACTCTTATAAAACGTGGGATGAATGTCTGTGTAAATACCGCGGAGAACATCCCAGCCAACAAAATCGTAATGACTACCCGAGTCCAATCTACCAACAACAATTTATGCAGCAACCACAAACGCAACCGGACAATTCTTGGTGCGTGGTGCTGTAAAAGTTATGATCAAACTCACTTTAGCGCCAAACTTACTTTAGTGACCATCGCCCAATTGGAATAAGAGTTCAAATTTGACTGCATGTTTTTGTTTTAACTTTAATCCATTCTGCAAAAATAATGCTTTAAAAAAATTACAAAATATACAAAAAATAATATTCACTTACCCCTAGATGCAATCTTTTTTTTTTTTAAAGATTTTAATATTATATTTTATTTTTAGACATGAAAAATTAGCCCGAACAAAAAAATGCAAAAAGTCTTTTTTTTTTCGGGCTCATATATCATGTATGATAAACCAGAAAAATAAAAATTCTATTAACCATTTGCTAATTCACTCTAAAATGAAATACTCTGAGTTTGCGTTTCTTATGCTGTCGATGAAATATTTTCTTTTAAATAGTTTAATCGAGCTTATGATGTTGTTATTAAACAAAAAATATTATGAAGATAACAGAAAAGACGTTTTCTTTCTTTTATATTCTTGCACAATAAGTTAACAAATGAATGAGTGATTTTTTTTGTTAAATGCAGAAAAGTAATGAAAAACCCATGATATTCTTATGCAATAGTGTGTGTGTGATTGTTTTTGTGTACTCAACAAGTGAGTACACTACTAGAATCGGTCAGTGTGTCCGTCCGTCCGTTTACACGATAACGTTCGAAAGGAGAATCAGACTGAGCTGACATTTTCTACACAGTTTAGTCTCATTGATATCTAGGTCGAGTTCGAAGATGAGCCCAATCGGTTGTACCATTGTTGAGTTATAAAAAAATTCTCATTAATGATCAGACCATCCTTGAGGGGGGGTACAGGGATTTTTTCAAAAAAAATATTATTCTCAAAATTATTCACAGCATATATAAATCGACTCAGTTTTTAACGCTGATTCCGAATCTCATATTAGTTTTGAACCAAATCGTAGCTTTCTAACAAAACATTGCCTGAAAAAGGTCTCAAAATGCAGAAAAATTGTATCCAGAAACCAAATTACCTAGATATGTCTCAGATAACTAGTAGTTTTGGGGTTTTTCAATTACCCGATTGTGTAGCTAGTCGAAAGGTCTATCGAAAGGTAAAAACCCGAACTCGATAGCTATGAACATCGGTGAGATATAATGAAAATACTCCTGTCCGTATCTATCATATATCTCTTATAGATTCATGAGGTTACTTATGATCGTAATATTACCTAATGTTTTTGGAGTAGATAGAATTTCTCAAGAGCTCCAAATAATGATAGGGAGTAAATATGGTGCGTTTGAGGTTTCCTCAACATTACACTATCCGAAAACAATGAAAAACTCACATATACTGACACTGCCGTTAGAACTGTTTATTGTTGACTAAGAATCAAATAAGAATCAAAAAAACAAGGTTACTGTCTATTTCCACTTTTTGCAGTACACATAACTCTCGGATAAAATCCGAGATTACACATTTATTTTAATTTGTCCTAAATGTGTTTTGTCCGATTTCATTTTGTCTCTTTACAATTCGTCCTAATTCTCTCTTGTCTCATTACATTTCGTCCTCTTGCATCTCGTTCCAAAAGTTAAGTATTCATTTTTTATCACGATAATATGAATTAAAATTTAGGGTGAGTGTGGGGTGGATGTGAATAAAGACGATACATATACCC